TTAGCTGAGGTAGAGCCAAAGGGTCATAAGAGGTGGGGTCAAGATGGACTCAACAACATTTACCTTGCTACTCACCATTCTCAGTTGCCACACCATAAAATCATGTAAGCAAGGCATTACTTGTATTTGGCATATACAGTATCTAAATGGGAACCATTCTCAGTTGCCACACCATAAAATCATGTAAGCAAGGCATAACTTGTACAGTATTTGGCATATACAGTATCTAAATGGGAGAATAGTCTCTTACCTTGGTCCTGAATGGCTGTGGCCTTGTCACATTTGATTCTGTTCTGTGCTTGGAAGAGACTGGCTGGAATACCTCCTCTTGCAGCTTTGACAGTGATGGAGAAGAAACTCCCATTTTCTTGGACTTGACAGCAGAAGTAGGAGATTTCTCCAATGAATGAATAGCAGTTGACCTAAGAAATAACCTCTTACCTTGTTTCAGAAGAGCTGGCTGTGCGCCTCCTCCACCATTTACAACTATCCCTGTCTACTAGCTAAGAACATCACTTCCCCTCCTTTTAAAAAAAATGTCATTTTTATTATTACACACAAAACAAACATCTAACAAGAATATATGGATAACCAAGGCAAAAGTACTACTACTACAACAACAATTCAGTCAGCTTTCTAACCTCTCTTAAACCCTTATATTTCACGGGGACATAATCCAACCAGTTCCAAGTTAATTAGACATACCAACAATTAAGACTCTTCTGCAATGTAGGAGTTTACCAAGAGAACGAGACCTTTGTCCAATAGCCCCCTTGATATGTAGCCATGCGACTACAGGGGCCAATTCCAGTTCAGGGAGGGGAATGAGAAGGTCCCAGCAAATGTACATACACACTATCATCACAGAAATCTGATGTGAAGAGACACAGTATATTCTCCCTTGGATTGCATAGGTACACACAGCATGGTTTTGGCCATATATGATTTTTTAAAATAAATAAATATTTCTTCAAATAAATAAATACTGTGCCTGTGATCAACCAGAACCCCATGAGTGCTGCACCAAAGGTGCCAAAGTGGTCTACTTGCCCCTGAACACAACATTTCTAATTCAGCCTCTAGATTGGAGGATCATAAGGACTTTTGAGGCTCATAATACATAGTACTGTATGAAAAGGATTGTCAATGCTATAAAAGAGAACCCCAATAGAGAGAACTGGTTGTATGTCTGTCTATGTGCACTTATCAACTGTTTCTGCTTTGTAGTTACATTTTAGGGGCATAAGAGTTATACATGGATTTTGAACTACACTGGGGGTCTGGCACCCCTAAACCCAGAATTGTTGAAGGGAGAAGTATACCCCATTTAAAATGTTATGTTTACATTCCTACCTCAGGTCAAAGAGAATCAGAATCACCCAACAGGACCTTGTAGCAAATATAACCTGTTCAATTTGTGTTGTTTTTTTTTTAATTAAGTGCATGCACCTTCTCTCTATAATAGGGAATACTCACAAAAAGCCACATTCAAATTGAAGCAAGAATAATGAAAGGGCCAGTGTGTTTTCTTCCAAAGATGGAAGAAAATCTAGTCTTTTCCTTCTCCCCGCCTGTTGTCTCTCTATTGTTCACCCAACTGCTTTGATGCCTGCTGGCCTCATACAGGAATGCCACAGCAAATGTGCCACCAGCACATTTAACTACTTTTAAAAAACTGCCCAAACTCTTATTAGTCCTTAAATCATTTCAGGTTCTCACCCATTTACTCTTCCTTTGCTGAGTAGGAAGAGAGGAATGGGTGTCATTTGAGTTAAAGTAAAATGCTTATTTTGTGGGGAAATGGCTCCGGATTTAGAGATGGGACCCAAATTAATTCAGGTACCTTCAGATGAATATCTCCACCATGAGGAACTTTATCCCACCCCCCACCCCCCAGCCAGCTGGCCTACTCACAGTTCTTCATGTGTCACTGGGGTCCTTCCACTCCAGCAACATGCCAATCTGGGCAGGAGCCCATGCTGCCCCTCTCCACCTCCCCCAGCAACTGACCACTCTGAAGAGGAGGCAGAACGGAGACTCTCCCCATGCAGCTGACCTTTGGTTGGCTGCTGGGAAAGGTGGGGATGGGCATCCTAGGCTCCTCCCCAGATTGGCACACTGCCAGAGTAGAAGAACCCCAGTAATCTGCAAAGAACGGTGAGTGGGCAAGCCAGCCGGGGTTGGGAGGGTGACAAGGTTAAACACAGCACCAATATTCATCTGAAGGGACTTGAATTAATTTGGGCCCATCTCTACTCTGGATGCTTCAGGAAAACACTCTTTAATTTTGTCCTTCCGTTAGTTTTCAGTACTTACTATTAAGCTACTTACTATTAAGCAAGTGTTGGCCACTTGGTCATGATTAGACAACCCTAAAGAAATTGCCTTGGCAACCTGCCCTTCCACTACCCTCCATATCAGTCACCGGGCATTTGCCAAATTCAGATGTATCAACTTTCTCGGCTCCTTCACGATTACCACAGAGATCTCTACAATAACTTTGAAGCACATGAAATTGGGCCCAGTCTATATGCTGCTCCCTGGTTTCTTACAATGTTTGCCTCTCAGTTTCCCCTGGGGTTTGTAGCTAGAGTGTTTGGTAAGTCACTGTTACTCTTAAGGATAAGTTGGAACCATATTTCATATCTTTTTGTCAGTCACCATTAAGGATATAACTTGTTTGAAAGTAAAGAATGAATGAATTTATTTATTACGGTCAGGTGACCAGCTCATAAAACATATTTATGGCTAAAATATACAAAACACAGTTTAAAAATACACTGTCAGTTGATAAAACATATTATGTGGTTAAAATATACAAAATGCAATTTAAAAAGTGTACAGCCAGTTCATAAAACATATTATATGGTTAAAATATACACAATGTAATTTAAAAATTATACAACAAATAATTAATTGTGTACTGATTGTAAACTATGGGGAGAATCAAATACAGCATTTTTATAGCTATCCTTTGAACATTTTGGTTTTTTTCTGGTCTGTGAGTCAAATCTCAGTCTCCAAGTCAAACCTAAATTTTGCGGCCAGAGAAGTCTGTAACTCAAAAAGTCTGTAAGTCAAGCCATCTGTAAGTCAAGGGTCCACTGTACTACTACTACTACTACAATTCAGTCAGCTTTCTAAACTCTCTTAAGCCCTTATATTTCATGGGGACATAATCCAACCAGTTCCAAGTTAATTAGACATACCAACAATTAAGACTCTTCTGCAATGTAGGAGTTTACCAAGAGAATGAGACCTTTGTCCAATAGCACCCTTGATATGCAGCCATGCGACTACAGGGGCCAAATCCAGTCAACCTGTGAAGTCAGGAGACTATAAGGGAGCGCTGTGCCATTGCTGCTGCACAAAATTTTGCTGCACAGCATATAATAAGGGAGTCTTGATCGGAAAGAAGTAGCTTGATATGAAATTCATCAGGTCTTCCTGGATATCTGAGAATGATTGAACTCAGGAGGTTGGTGCGTAGATCTCTATAGAAAAGACAGTACTGTACAGAAAAACATGACCTGCAGTTTCCACTTGGCCATCATTACATGGACACAGGCAATCCAAGACAGGTATATGTTGAAATCTTCCCTCCATGAGGTAAAACATTAAGTCTCGCTAATGCGAAGGCTCTTCTGGTCTTTGTTGACACTGTGCTCATCAAGTATGAAGATATTGTAAATGCATTATTAGTGACAACACTGTATTTGTCTAAACACTTGGAAAGTAAAGAGATTTTTTCCTTTTTTATGACTGAAAATATTGGCAAAGAGATGGATAGAAACACCGATTAGGAAAAAGACAGATAAATTATGCTGTGCTCATCAAATATGAAGATATTGTAAAGGCATTATTAGTGACAACACTGTATTTTGAAAGTAAAGAGATTTTTTCCTTTTTTATGATTGTGAAAATATTGGCAAAGAGATGGATAGAAACACCGATTAGGAAAAAGAGACAGATAAATTATGGTAAATGCAGATACTTGCATTCCACCCTGTTGAACTCTTTATTGGCATCTAACTGCCTCAGGCCTGTTCTAACTGTAGCCTCAAACATGAAAGAGGCATCAGGTTTCTTATCTGTGCCATAGAGCCTTATGCAGTATTACCACCTGTGGCGATCCCCTTTTGTGGCCCCTATATCCTTGGGCTCCACACAGGTAAACATGCCCTTTTCGCTGCCACCAGGTATTCTCTTAATACCACCTCAAGTCCCACACAGGAACTGCCACCCCAAAAGGTCATATACTCTAGGAAGCAGGGTTTATGACTGATTAATTATTCTTTTATTATTATTCAACAGGAAAATCATATGTGAATTGGATCAGGTGTTAATACTTTTAAGATCATGTAGTCAATCACTTTACTATCAATTTTATATCTCTCTTGTTATGCTTATACATTCATTCCAGCTTGTTATATGTGTTTTATTTTCAATTTTCTCTCCTAAACCCCTTTAATCTATTCCTAAACCCTAACACTCTCTGTACATCTTCTGGTCCCTGATTTTTTCTACCTCTCCCTAACTCTGTCTCTAACTGTCCTTCAAGTCCCTCTAACTGTCATTCTAACTCCGCCCCTCCTGCTCTATCCTAGGCTCCTCCCTCTTAGCTGCTGTGATGGACAGGCAGGGATGACATCACCTTTTTGCATTCTGCTACATCAGCAACTAGGCAACATATGATCAGATGCCTAGTTACGCAGATGGGTCCCTTGAAAAGGTTTGTTCCCCAGTTTCTCATTAAAGCTGCAGCCCTCTTGCCTCCCATGGACGGGACTGATGTTTGTGCAGGTACTCTACAACACCCATGTGGCTTAGCAACCTTGGGAATGGCACCCCCACACCGGGTAACAATACCTTGACTACACTTTGTGATGTCACTTTTTGTCAACTTTATAAAGTCTCCAGCAGAGGCTTCAGGTAGAGTCATCATGTCCTCAACAGAGGAAAGCAGCTTGGCAACAACTCCTGAAAACCAAAAAGTGGAAAAGACAGAAGACCTTTCCTCCAACAAAACAACTGGGGTGAGGAAGTCAAATCTATTTCACTGAACTGAGCAGGATGCTTCCGGCATAGAGGTGGTTGAGGAAAGTTTTCTTCCAGGTGTTCCTTTTAAAAATCTGCTTGTAGGTTTCACGAAACATCCTATTTGGCATCCTAAAATATACCTTTGTGTTTTGGATCCTAAAGGGCTGCTTTAACAGCCTGATTTCATTGCA